AGTCGAGTGTGGTCTAAAGTTGGTAAAAATTTCAAGTAATTATTTGCTTTAGTTTGAAAAATGTGAATTTTTAAAGAAGAAAGCGCAATTGCGAACTTTGCAAACGCAATTGCGAAATTTTTTGAAAAAAATCGACCTTCCGACCGAAATTTTGGGTCAAAAATCAAAATTTTACATGCGGGTTTTTTTATCTCAACGGATTGCTTTCGGCCTAAGAATCTGCCCAATATGCATTATTAAGTGCTTGACTCTATATGAGGCAAGATATCGTCAGTTCAAGATCGTGATGGATTCAAAAATAGGACTAAAACGTCGATTCTAACGGATCTAAAAGTTCTAGCGTGTTCCGAGCGAGTTTTTGCACTCCTGGCTTCCTTTTGAAAAAAATTATTTCCGGTCAAAAATAAAAATTTTACATGCGGCTCAATGTTTCCGACCTAAAAAGCACATAGGTATGTAAAATTTCCCTTTCTGGGTAAAAACTACTCGAATTTCCTCACTCATGTTGGTATGACTGACCTACACCTACCTACGCGTTTTATATGGATTCTGTAAAATTTACATTTTTCTAGTCATGGTTTTTTGGGGCTAAAAATCTCCCTTTCCTTCGTTCCCACATCAAGGCATTTTACTGAAAACCCGTTTGTTCAAAATTGGCCCAATCTAGTTGAAATAATGGTCGTTTTTCCCTGTTTTCGCTGAATATTTTTTACACACATTCACTAGATTTTTTACGATTCTGGCCAATTACACTATTTGCGTGTATGACGAGGTTTGAATTGCGAAACGTCGGCAATTTCGATAAACCGGCTTGTGTTGTTTTGCGCCGATCCCAATCGCGTCATGGAATACAAAGCATTTATGCAGGTTTCAAGCGACTTTATCATTTAAAACATTTCCAGCTCTTAAATAAGAAAAAAACCTATCAAATTAGTCATCAATTGGCGACAAAGATGCTAATCAGCACACGCGTAAAACCATCTCCATTAACCTGTGCAGGTTGTACCTTGCACTTTAGATCAGCGACAATTTTAGATAATGATAAGCACACTTTGTCGCATTGCTGTTTTTATGCTATAAATATTTTTTCCCGATGGATTTTGCCCCGTAAATCTCCTTGTTAACAGAATCGTTTTCAGCGCTAAAAACATCCTACAGAGGTTGTTATGTGGACATAGGGCCTGTGGTGGGACCTGCAGATAAAATATGGACACTCTCCTTTAACACAGAATCGACTAAAACCCCTTTAGTACTTATCCATGGCTTGGGAGCTGGCGTGGCTCTTTGGTGCTTAAATATTGATGCTTTGGCAGCGACTCGACCTGTATATGCTTTTGACTTACTCGGTAAGTTTTAGCGGTCTTTTCAATTAAATTTCAGGCCCAATGGAAATTTATTAGGCTTTGGAAGATCCTCCCGGCCGGACTTTGCCACGGATGCGTTGGAAACGGAGAAGCAGATGGTGCGATCAATTGAAGAATGGCGCAAAGAGATGAAGCTGGAGCGCTTCATTTTATGCGGGCACAGGTACTAATTGGCGCAGCAATTTAATCAAATTTGCTTTAATGGTTTTTTTCGCTGGGGCAGTTTGGGTGGATTTGTAGCTACCGCATACGCGCTGGTTTATCCAGATGCAGTCAAACATTTGATTCTGGCTGATCCCTGGGGGTTTCCGGAAAGACCGCGCGATACCAGTCAAGTGCCTTTATGGATAAAAACGTTAAGTTATGTCATGCAACCGATCAACCCTCTTTCATCCATCCGATTGGCTGGACCGTTGGGTAGGCGTGGCTCCGAAGCAAGAACCTTCCAGATTGATGTGTTTGTGTCTCTTTTAGGGCCTTGGTTCATCAACACATTGAGGCCGGACATTTCCCGGAAATATGTTTCAACGCTTATCGATCCCGATGTGATTCCCCAGTATATCTACCAGTGTAATTCTCAATATCCCAGGCAGGTTGAAAGAGTTACAATAAGGGACGCAATAAGGTGCTAACGTTACATGGGGGTTTACAGTGGGGAAAGCGCCTTTCGGGCAATGATGAATGGGATTGGATGGGCGATGCATCCGATGGAGCGCAGAATTCATCTGCTCAACAGCCACATTCCCATTACTCTGTTGTGGGGGTCGAAGAGCTGGATTGAACATTCGGCCGAAGACATTTTGAAGACGAAAAGAAGCAATTCGTACTTCGACCTGAAGGTAACTCATGGAAACTCGGAATGGTCGGGCTTGATCAAACTGTAGGGAACGGGAGCGTGAAAATTTGTTCTCCTGCAGTTTGGTCAAAACTTCCATATAAGGAATCTGATTCTGGACAAAAAATTAACAATTTTAGGTGATATCGGGCGGAGGGCATCACGTGTACGCCGATAAGCCAGAACAGTTTAATCAAATCGTAATCGAGGCCTGCGACTTTATCGATCAGGAGTCTGCCACTGGTCGGCTGGCGATTCTGCCGTCGGATGGAAATCACAATTCCGAATTACTTGATACGTAAATTGTAAGAGTTGTTTGAGAATGCTTGCAAAAGATCATTTTGATTTGACCAATAAAGTTGTTTTTTGCCAGTGCGGAAAAACCGCGGAATTCATTCAATTCAACCAAATTTCTTTAGCTTCAAAATTCCAATTGCTTTTCGGGACTGCAAAGAAAATCTAAAACTTTAGGTGTTCGCGTCCTTTTTTGAATGCAAATTGGGACTAACATTGACAACGTAGATAAGTTCTATATTGTTGAGGCGGATTCATTTTTTCACAAACTGTTTGTTGGGTATTTCGCCTCAAAAATGTTTGTCTTTAAAAAAGACAGAATTTCCTCACGTCTTTTATTAAGACCTCACGTCTTAATAAACGACGTGAGGAAATTCTGTCTTTTTTAAAGACAAATATTTTTGAGGCGAAATACCCAACAAACAGTTTGTGAAAAAATTGACAACGTACGACTTGGGATAATAATTCACATACTAGGTACCTGATATATTTGGTTTGTGATAGATTTAATAAAATATACGTGTTTGGTAAGTGGATGCTTCTACAGAGTCTAAAGCGTTTCGGAAATGGCATCCAAGCGTGCGGAATTTAAATTAAATTTGCATGCTTTATCAGTTATAAACTTTTGTTGTTAAAATTAAAAAAGATTTTTGTTCAAATACAACTTACTTTTCAATGCTCTGTTCAATTTGGAAGTAGGCACTTTTTTGTCCGGTGCACCGTTTTTGAGCAAAAGCTGCCTTGCAGATTGGAAATATGGTGGATTGAGGAAAACTTCCACTTACCAAGCCTGATAGTTAATCTGAAAATCATATTTCATCGAGTGACGATATTTATTTGTTGTTATTGTTATTTAAATTATTTATAGGTACTACATGAATAAGCTCACTGCTACAAATAAGGTGTTTGGCAACAACAAAAAAAACCATTGTACTAAAATATATCTGTTTATTAGTTTTTGATAATTATCGCCTAATTCTACCGTACCCTTTTGTGTTGTAATATATACAATGTTAATGAGCTGATGCTTTTGTGCACATCACTAAAACAACAATATTCCCAATGAATACTATTTATTTCTCCGTCCTAATCCCGAAAACGTATTACACTGATTAACACTTAGACTACATTAGGCATTTAGAGAAACGCGTTTTACATTAATTAAATGCACTGTGGTTATACACCTAGTGTGAGAAATTTAGAGTTTGAGATCCATCTGTAGATATTTTGATATCGGCTGTTGAGTTCGGTACACTAGACAGTTTTAGTCTGTTTTACGCCTTTGAAATGTACAAATTGTGTATCGAAGTGTTCGCACCTGCTGGTATCAGTATATTGAAACTTTTTCGCGTAAAGTATTCGATTTAGCGTGTGATCAAAACACGAGATTTTTCACTAACAAAGATAAAATGTATTGCAATGACTGCCCTAAATTTAATAACATATATAGTATTTATAAATGTATACATTCACTTACCCTAAGATTTATCGGATTTGTAAAATATACCTACACAGTAGTACTATTTTAAAATAAATGTTAAATAATTTCTTGTTACTTCGACTATCTACTGTTATATGGCAGTAACCTAAGCTTAATTCAAACATATTTAAAAATGACAAATTGGAATAAAATCACAAAATTTTGCAAAACCGCAATATTTACTTTCTTAAACCTTATCAAATAAAATCGGTTGACCACTGGTAAAAAGTGAGTAGAGCCTGGTTGCCAAACAAAAATCAACAAACATCCAAATAAAAGAAATGAAGTTAAATAGTATGCAGTGAAAGAGAGCTTGAAATAATATTAAATGAGACTCTTAAACTAATAAAATTATTATCGATACTCAATATCGCAAGCGAGTTCTTGCCCCTGATTCTTGTGAAATATGGGGCCCAAACCGCACAACAGTCCAGGCCTGTCTTTTACTGCAGCCAATTTGTAAGCATATTTCAAAAACCGGCCAACTATTGTCGAGCAATATAAAAAAAATGAAAAGTGTAAAGCTGAAGTTTTATTATGCATCCGATTTACAATGGTTCGACAATCCGACAGCGTTTGTTGGACAGAAATACGTCCACATGGATGTTTTCATTCAACTGCTTTTTGCCAGCTTGGATACTGGGGTTAAAATGGCTCAATTACGCTCCTTTCTTTAAAAATTCACATTTTTCAAACTAAAGCAAATAATTCCTTGAAATTTTTACCATCTTTAGAAGACACTCGACTCTACAGATCTAGAAGAATTCATAAAAATCACACATAGTCCTAATTTTTTCCAGCTTAGTGAATATCGGTCTGAAAATGGATGTTTTTGCGCAATTGCGCTTCTCCTTTTAAAATGTACGTCTTCCAAACGAAGGCAGATGGTCATTTGAAACTTTCACCATCTATAGAAGACACTTGCCTATAAAAGCTCTGAAAGTTTTATGAAAATCGCAAATGGTCCTGGTTGTTCCGAACTTAGTGAATACCGGTGTCAAAATGGATGTATTTTCGCAAGTACGCTCCATTCTTTAAAAA